ATTTCTCGTGCAAATGCGCATCAGATCTTGGAGTAGTCTGCTCCAGGGCTTGGGTGCGGTGCTATTTGCTCTCGTAAGGTGCTCAGTTAAAGACTTCGTGCCAAAGCCTAAGTAATACTAAGTGCCAGACCAGGTACAAGTGTGTACCTTTACACATTCGGAGATTGCACCTCCAGAACCAAGAAGAAGGATGACGGACCAAGGAAACCGTCGCTTAATCGCATCCCAAGTTAGCAGCGATTCCCTTCTGATTGTGAGACGGTTACGGTCTAAAATGCCATCGCAATATTTACAAAAACACGATGAAAATTTTCAAATAGACATGCCCAATTACCCGATTTGGATCGTAGGAAAAAGAAGTCAGGTATCTCTCGTGGCCATACAAACAGTATGAACACAGCTAATATACCCGTGCATGCATCCGTAACGTATCCTCTAAAACGCAAACATCGTGCTCTGAATGAGCCAGTGTAGCAATAGTAAGAACAGATTGCTAACTTTTTGAAATATACAGTCCATCCATCAAACACTTGCGGATCACTTGTAAACCATGAAAAAATCGTCAGTATGAATATTATAAGCGTCGAAACTTCGGCAAACCTACAAATATCTTTAGGAAATCTACAAGATACGCACCTTCTTACAACATTTGCGATTATAAGCACAAATTTCAAGTAATTTTCGCTCAGTTACCACAACTCACTTGAGGTATTACACTTACGTCATTGGCCCAAGCTCGTTGTAAGCTGTGTCCACAGTTTTACTCACATACTTTTCATCCATTCGCTCCTCCTCAGAAGGCGCTTCAAATAGTCGTACAATATGGCGGAAGCCAATAAATTGTATCTATAAATGCATATCCTTGTTGATGGGACTCTTTCAAGTTCTGACAAAGTTTTATTCGGTTCCATTCACTCTACCAGCAATTGGGAGAGGAAGAGAAAGGAGTAGAAAGAGACCGGAGAGAGAGAAAGGAAGAGGAAGAGAGAAAGCGATGTTATGAGGGAAGGAGGAAAGGAGCAGTTTCCTCTTTTCTATCGTTTTCTCCCGCTCCGCATCTGACCAATCAGAAGGCGAAGGCAAGTTGCTGGCCAATATCGTGATGGTAAGGGTTTCTACCATCTCAGTTCTGTAGAAAAAATCTGCAAGCCTTTACCTGTACAATCAACCATGAAGCGGTCATGCATCCTATCATTGGAGGTATTGCAAAAGTCATCCATGAAATGTAACTAATACCCGTATCCTCTCCAGGAAAATATCTGAACACAGACTTACTGTCTTCATAATTCTCAAATGTATACACTGGTCAAGTCAATAACCAGTATGCACTACTTCTGAAGCGTGGCTCTGAAGATAAGATTTGGTGCAGTTGAATTGATCGTACCGGTTCCACCAATTAACGAAGCATGAGCGACAATAAGCATAAGGCATTTGCAGATACCTAATTTTGTATGGATCAACTGTCGAAGAAACATTTAGAGCAGTACCTACCTCGATCTTTTTTCGACAAGCGTGAAAAGTCCAATCGTGTCGGCTCAGTACTGAAATGTGTAGCTAAAGGTGACAATGTCTGCTTACAAATGATTTATTAATTGTACTTTTCTACCCAGGTCAAAAATTAGTCTATTAGATCTATTACCGCATGTGGAAAGACGATGTGAGGCTGAGTCTGAGAAAGACGATATTTTTGAAAACGAAGAGTTCTCAATATTTCCACCACCATCAAAGAAACGAGAATCACCGGATGTTCAGGTTATATGTATCTGGACCGGGTGATCAATGTGATAAACGCTTGCTCCGGAATACGCACGTGAAAGCGTACAGCCTGGAGAGCATTTAAACGATTGAGGACGTAGTGAAGAAGATCAAGAACTGGTTCCGCACTCACATCTTCAACTCGCTATTCTTCCTGCCTTGACGTATGAAAACATGGGTTATGCAGCAGAAGGAACAGTGATACACACTTAACGCCATCCTTTCAATGACGATTTTAATGACGCGGTTGGGCCAGAAGGTAAGTAAGAAGGTGTGAGGAATCTCACTGCAGCCAACTG